GGGAGGGCTCAGGGGGGCTGCTCCGAGCGGGTTTTCCCCCTTGGCGTGGGTTTTGAGCAGCATTTGCTTGATGGAGTCCATGAGCCTCTGGCTCCCCCGTGCCGGGCTCTGCCCCTCCTGGACTGGAGGGGATTGGGGCACTCACCTCGTGTTGGGGTGCAAAGGGGTTCAGGCACAGAAATGCCTCCATTGCTTGACATTCCTCCTCCCAATATGTATAAAAATCTCTACCCTTCCATCAAAATTAACCTCCTTCAGGTTTCAGGAGAGCAGGCAGGTTGGCAGAGCAGAGAGGCTGGTTGTGCTGGCCCTGAGAAGGAGGCGGCGGTGCCCACTGCTCAGCCCCATTAGCCATCAGAGACTCCACACCCTGGGGGTCCCCAGCCCTGGGGCTCTCGGACCTGCTGCGTTACTGCATCCCTTGTGTTGGGACATGCAAGAAAATAGCAGTTTGTCTTTCTCGTTGCCGCTGCTGCCGTGGGCATGCCGAGGATGTACCGTGAGCGAGCGGGGGGCTCACAGCAGCAGCAAGGCTCTGGCTCCTGCGGGCCAGCACACAGCTCTGGGCTGTTTGGGGACCACCAGCATGAAGATCTCTCCCTGCCCCAGGCCTCTAAGCCCTCACCACCGGGAAGGTCTCCGTATTGGCTGGTGAGCCCAGGAGAGAGCCCAGCTGTGTGGAGGGAAGAGGTAACTGGTACCTGAGAGCATCCTTGCTCCTCCACTGGGATCATTAACTCCCCTCGCCCCAGAGATCTGCTCCTGTCTTTCCCCATTCCCAACCAGCCTGCCGTTGGATGTATGCTTTTCTGATGTGTGTGATCCATGATTAGTTCTTGCCACGGGGTTCAACCTGACCTCTGGGCCAGGCTCACAACCTCCTGGTGCGTCCCCATCTCCCAGAGACGTGGCAGCCCTGGGACAGGACTTAGGCCAAGCACAGCCTTGCGACCTGTGTCTACATCAAACCAGCACCTCAGCTTTGTTATCGATTCCCAAATAGACAGTGGAGGAACTTTCTGGAAAAGGGTCTAAGTGCTTTACAGCTCACGAAAGGGAAGAACCTGTGCTGTCAAACCTGCATTACACTGGCTGAGCAAGCGAGGTCATCGACATGGTGATGATGCAGTAAATGAGGAGGGCTGGTAAGAGGCAGGGCAGCGCTACCTGCTTTCCCGGAGCAGCTCCCGCCCGAAAGCCCTGTGGTCCCGAGCAGCAGAGACCAGCAGGGAGGCAGACACCAGCGCCTGGGAACGCAACGGAGCAGCACGTTGCAGCCGGTACCCGAGGGGTGAAGCTTGAAGCAGCCTGGGCTTCTGTCCAGGGAGATTTAAAACTCCATGGAAGGAGGGAAATATAGACGAAAAGGTGCCCCTTATCTTTGTGATTAAAAGCCTGTGCTCTAAATGGAGTTGACCTCCGTGGTGGGGCAAATCAAGATGGGTTTGTGAGGTCTTGGTGGATGTGTTGCCCTCTCTGAGCATCTCTGCTCACCCTGCACCCTGACCTGCCCCGGCCTGGGCTGTCTGGGCAGAGGGAGCAGATGCTTGGTCACCAGCTGGGCTGGGGGACAGCCCCAGGGGCACAGTGGTCCTCGATGTCTGCTGTCCCCTTGGGTGGATGTGACTTGTATGTCTCTGTCCAGATGTGTCCCCAGCTGTGGCCTGGCAGGAAATCCCTGTGGAACAGGCAGGGATTTGGGCCTGATGGAGGGAACATCAGTTGTCCCAGGGTTTCACATTGCAGCTGCTCAGATTGTTGGGGAAAATAAGAACCAAAAAGCACATCTGCTGGCTGAACGACCCCAAAATATGAGCCACAGCAGCTCTCCCCCTCTCTGAGCTGCAATGGGGCAGCCGGCCCCAAACCTCAGCTTCATTCACAAGAAGATCCCCACCAACACCACCTTGTTTTAAGTCCCCCAGATTATTTTGGACATGCTGGAAAGCAATGTGAGTGCCCATTGTCTGTAAAGGACCGGCTGTCTTTTTTAATCCCCCTTAGGCAAAAGTGATGACGAGGACAGCATCTGCAAAATGGGCCAAGCCTCAGGGAAAGGTGCCGAGGACGGGAAGGATCACAAGCGACCCAAGAGACCCCGGACGATCCTGACCACACAGCAGCGGAGGGCGTTCAAGGCATCATTTGAGGTCTCCTCCAAGCCCTGCAGAAAGGTATGGGGAGAAGGGCACAGACTCAGCTGGCTCCAGCCCCCAGGGATGTCCTGGATGTTGGGCAAAGCCTTGCCTTGGCTGCTCTGTCCTCTCCTAAAGTGCTCCAGAAAAGCTGAGTGGGGCTGAGATGCCACTGTCTTTCCAAGGTGCGGGAGACGCTGGCAGCTGAGACGGGGCTGAGCGTTCGCGTGGTGCAGGTCTGGTTCCAGAACCAGCGAGCAAAGGTGGGTACGAGGGGCAGCCCCCTGCCAGCGCCCTGTGCCGGGGCTCCCCTTCCTCCTCACTTTGGCCGGGGATGATTTCACCCTGTTTTTTCCCTATCGCCCAGATGAAGAAGCTCGCCAGGCGGCAGCAGCAGCAGCAGCAGGATCAGCAAAACACACAGCGCCTGAGCTCAGGTACCCCCCTTGCACCCAGCTCTCCCCATGCTCTGGGGCTCCCTATTTCCCACTCCTCTCTGGGCTTCCCAGGGGAGCTGAGCACCCCAAAAAGCAGCAGCCCAACTGTGCTGACCAACTTGCTTTTATCTTCCAGCCCAGACGAACGGCGGTGGCAGCGCGGGGCTGGAGGGGGGGCTGGACCCC